TTCACTAGTCAGTTTGGAGATCTAATTGCGGTAAGGTTTTCTGTCTTATAAAGAGGAATGATGAAATCCTGTGCTACCTGGCTTTTATTTGATATGTTATAAGATCCTCTGCCATTCATGTTTATCTATGCATAAGAGATTTCACGTAGAAGCGCGATAATCCACAAGAAATATTTATTCTTTACTGCTCTAACTTTGTATTGATTACTTTATATATGTGCTATACCACAAATACATGATAACATAGTGGCTAGGGAAAGTTAATTGGTTTGGTTTCATCCTCTAATGGACATTTGATCATGAGCTCCATATTTATCTTTCTTTTTGTGTCCTTGGATCTTTTGAAACCCTTTCGGTATTGCTGGGACCCTCTAACAGTTTCTTTGGTGAGCACATGAGATTATTGCAAATGATATTTTACCACTAATTTTGTCTTCAAATATTTAGTTATTTATTAAGTATTATTGTAAAAAGGTTCTTACAAAGAGTTCGTTGGACATTTTTAGGATTTGGCAATTGATGCCACGGAAACGGTTGGGGTTGAAATTGGCCAAGGGTTGCGTGAAGTGGATATTAAAAAGTACATTAAGGTTGAGAAGGTTCCCGGCGGTCAGTTGGAGGATTCAAAAGTGCTCAAAGGAGTTATGTTCAACAAAGATATTGTTGCTCCAGGAAAAATGAGAAGAAAGATTGTAAATCCGCGCATTATTCTCCTTGATTGTCCCCTGGAGTACAAAAAGGGCGAGAACCAAACCAATGCAGAGTTGCTTAGAGATGAAGATTGGAGCATTCTCTTGAAAATGGAAGAGGAGTACATTGAAAACACGTGTGCTCAAATTCTTAAGTTTAGACCAGACGTGGTCATTACTGAAAAGGGGTTGAGTGACCTGGCGTGTCATTTTCTTAGCAAAGCTGGTGTTTCTGCAATTAGAAGGCTAAGGAAAACAGACAATAATAGAATTGCTAAGGCTAGCGGAGCAGTTATTGTTAACAGACCTGATGAGTTGCAGGAATCTGACGTTGGTACAGGGGCTGGACTTTTTGAGGTGAAGAAAATTGGTGATGAATTCTTCACTTTTATTGTTGATTGCAAAGACCCAAAAGCGTGTACTGTACTTTTGAGAGGTGCCAGCAAAGATTTGCTGAATGAAGTGGAAAGAAATTTACAGGTAATCTTAAAATCAAACCATTTGATGTAGGGCCCATTTTGAACAAAAATCTCGAGCAAACACTCTTAAATTAGCCACATGAGATAATCTAAAAACATCTGAACAGGTTCCATATTTCAAATGATTTATTATTATTATTATTATTATTATTATTATTATTATTACTATTATTATTATTATTATTTCTTATAACTTTAGAGTATTTAGTTGACAAAATTGGAAGAGTATATGATTCATTATAATAATATTAAACAAGAAAAACTTGTGTTTGCCCAATGTACAACTATTAAATTTTCGTAAGGAGCAACTACTATAGATCACCAATGTTACTTATATTTTCCAAGGTTATGTTTGGATGGAGGATTTTGGAGGACTTTAGAACAGAAGGCTTTTTTGGGCTTGATCCATATCATGAAATATGTTTAAGATATTATATAAATTTATGATTATTATAATCCATGATCATATAACATTTTAATCACCTTTTTTGTTTTCAGGAACATTTTATTTATCAGGATATTGACTATTCCCATCCCCTCCATCTGAACAGACCTTAATTTTATCATATGTAAACTCCTTTATGGCAAGTTATATGAAACAATAGCTTCTTGTGGTCAAACTTTTTTTTGGAGGCAAAGAGGTATATGAAAACCTGACTTTAACGGAGACTGCCGAGTTGTTTTTTGCAGAAACTTTTTAACTGGCTTCTAAATAGCTACATTTGAGTTTAATAAGCTCCTTGAGGTTGGAATAAGCTCTGAACTTTTTTTTCTGAAGACATTGAATCTTTCTAATAAAAGCCTATGAGAATATCTAATTGTTTCAAACTAAAATGAAAAAAAAAACAATATTAAGTGTAGAAGACGAAACAAATTTTCTTCTCAATGGGTCTTATTGCGTAGATAAATCAGCTTGTTTAAAAAGTGGTTCTGATCTCGCAATACATTAATGTGTAGGATGCTATGTCTGTATCCAGAAACATCATCAAGAATCCAAAGCTAGTGCCTGGGGGTGGTGCAACAGAGTTAACTGTATCTGCTATGTTGAAGCAGAAGAGCTCATCCATTGAGGGTATTGAGAAGGTAATGATATCACCTTTTACTGTACTCTTTTGGATATCTTTAAATTCTTTATTTTACATTAGGTTTGTATAAATAAATAGAGATTCCTGAGATATTTATTACAGACTACTCCACAATAGATTAGTATTTCATAACCTGCAGCAGTGTTCAATTGTAACTTAACAATTAGTCACTAACTCACTGGTATTAACTTTTGAATAGTGGCCATATGAAGCTGCTGCAGTTGCTTTTGAGGCCATACCACGAACATTGGCCCAAAACTGTGGGGTCAATGTGATTAGGACGATGACTGCGCTGCAAGGGAAGGTAAATGATATCCCTATAATTCACTCTGGCAGGTGATATCTGGCCCTTGTTAGAATATTGAACATAAATTTGATGCCCTTTTGTAGCATGCAAATGGTGAGAATGCATGGATTGGAATAGATGGGAATACTGGGGAGGTTGCTGATATGAAGGAGCGGAAGGTATGATCTTTTGTTCAGTGCCACTTTTTTACTATGTCAGATGCTGATGGCGTACACAAAATACAAAATTGTTGATTCTTGATAAATGAACTTTTAAGTTCCAATCAAAGCCCGCAAAACACTAGGGGAATAAAGTAGGGAGAAACTGTAAGTGAAAATGAAACATAGACTAAAATAAGTAAATTCCATCATCTCCGATGAGCCAAAAATTCACTACTGTTTGGCTTTGGGGTGATGGAATAAAGAAAAATGGATCTATAAACTATCTGTGCTTTAATTATTGTAGTAGTTAGTCAATCAATGAAATTTTCGATGCTAAGAGCATGGGCAATGGCAAGTAAGAAATGGAATGCCACACAATGACGTGGAGTATTTTAGTTAATGAAAATCGGTCCAGTCATCATGTGGAAAATGAGTGGAGTGGCATGCCTTGCAATGGCAAGTCACTCTTTTTATTATTTTTTACACTTTTTAAATGTATTTTAATTAATAAAAAGGATTTTAATTATTTATTTGATTATAAAAATACTTCTATAACATTTATTTAAAAATAGGAGTATCGTTTTTCCATATTTAAAAAGAATTAAAAAATAAAAAAAATCTTATTTTTCCTTATTAAAAAAATTTAAAAATATGTTGTCTGATTTATTTAAATGCCTCACAAAAAAAAACATTTTTGTTTAAAAAAAACCAATCCATCCGTTTCCTTCTTATTCTAATGCTACACCCTATTTCTTCAAAAAAAAGAGAACATACACGCCTTGCACATGCCTCGCTCGCCGGGGTGGAATGCCCATTCCTCTCCTTGGTAATCAAGTAAGTGGATGATGCGGCAAGGCGAGGTAGATGAAGAACTTGCCACTGCATATGCTCTAAGCCGGGGGTCTCTTTGGAAACAACCTCTCTACTTTCGAGTCGGGGTAAGGTTTGCGTACACACACCCTCCCTAGACCCTACTCTTGTGGGATTCAACTGGGTTGATGTTGTTGGTCCCCATTTTATTTACATAATATTTCTCTAATATATAGAAGAAAACTAAAAAAATATATGGCAAAAAGAAATAATCATATTTGGCTGGCATTTATTCCCATTTCACTAGCATTTTCTTGCTTCCAAAAATCCAAACAATACTCAAAGTTTTTTCAATGATTATTTTAAATTGCAACTTATTATTCTTTACATGTAAGGTGTTACCACCAACGCCTTTAACTGGGGTTGTATTAAATTTCAGATTTGGGATTCATACACGGTCAAAGCACAGGCTTTTAAGACTGCCATTGAAGCCGCTTGCATGCTTCTAAGGATTGATGATATTGTGAGCGGTATCAAGAAAAAGCAAGCCCCAGGTGCAAGCCAGGCTCCATCAAAGCCAACGGTCGAGGGAGAAGGTGATGCTGACAACGACCAGTTGATTCCCGAGTGATGATGTCACATGGATAGGTTTGTTCATGCATCGGGATGCAATTTTCAATTTAATCAGCCCCCCCGGCCTTGGGTTTCTCTACTTTTACTGTGGTCGTTGTCTGTAAGAACTAGGAAATTCTCTGTTAAATGCTGAGAATGGGAGCCGGACATGCCCCTCCCATTATTCCCTGAGCTTTGAATGATCTTTTTGGGGTTTGTGTGAATTCATGTTGTTCTTCTAAGTGTGATTTTTATTTATTTAATGATAAAGAACATGATATTCCGTAATATCTTTCTACGTTTATAATTTTTGTTATTCCCTCAAAATTTTATCAATAGTATACGCATGTTATTAAAAAAATTCTTCATATCAACTTCATCTTAATTCATAAACTTTTGGTGGCTGATCGGGGGGTGGGATTTTGCAAGCGTACAAAAACCTAAGGTAGTAATAATGATCGGCAAGACTAGGTCAAATCCACAAGGACTTGTACATTTAATTGTACTTTGTATTTTAAAATGAGTGTGAGAGTGCAATAACAAGGGCTTAACGCAATGATAGAGGAGAGCAACGAGGAGTTTGAGACTAGCCGATTATAACTACCTTTAGGACTAAGAAACTTTGTTCAGTAATTGCAAGTGCAGAGTTGCTATGACACCTCTTGCTTTGGTTAAGGCAACAAAAGGGTGATTAGCATCTAAGTACAATTACTGTTACGTCTTGCATAAATTTAGAGCCTTCATTGATGCTTAGACTCCAAACAGAAAAAGCATCGTTTAAGAGTTGGGTATATCTCTATCCCAACTCTTCTAAACGTTTGTTTTACTAGAGCAAAAATTTACTTCACCACTAGGTCCATCACAAAGCTCCCAAAGTGCTAATCAAGTAGAGTTTCTTTCATAGACTATCAAAGATGCTAATATGGTCATACAATCAAAGCGAAACAAACAAGAACTGTTTGTAATATACTTGAACTCATAATCAAAGTCTAATGGAGATTACAATGGCGCCGTCCCTAATTTTGGGTGAGTGTTTTATCTACAAAACATGATGAACAAATGTAAAGAGAAAAGAGTAGAGATTACACGAGATTAGTTGAAATTTGGAGTTGAAATATTGAAACTCTAGCTCCTCATCTTCCTAAAGTTGAACAAGAACAACAAAGAAATACACAAATTAGGGTGAGGGGGGGGGGGGATAATCTAAGCTAAGAATTTTATCTCCATAAACATAAATTTAAAAGAGTTCATTGTTGAGAATTTAAAATGATCACCTCTTCTTGTGTAGTTGACGAAAATACAATGTCTTCATTGAATAAGAAATTTTAGATGATTTATATGACATGTCATCTTGATGGTGTGTATGAAGATGAAATATCCCAAACATGTGGAGACATGTAGATTCTTGTTTTCATTTGTAAAGATGCAATATTTCTAGAGTGTAAGAAGCCAACCAACCCCATATTCTTATCACATGTTTGGCATCATGCTTTGCACAGGTACACACAAACAATTATCTGTGCAGCATAGACAAATATTGACTTTGCTTGTCCAAGCAAAGCATGATATTAAAAATCTAGCATTACCCTAGCATAGCTCTAAAACGAAATCTCATGCAACTTAGAAACTATTTAACCACAAATTGTACTGAACTACGAAGTATGTTAAAATCCTTGTCCTTCATTCTTTATTTTATGCACTTTTCTTATTTCTATGTTTTTTTTTTACAAAAAAAAATTGTACAATTTTCATACAACCATATTCATGGACTCTAGAATTGGCCATATATTCCAATAATATAAACTAGGACGACAACGACAACAATAAAAAGAATAATAATAATAATAACAATAACAAAAACAATAAGAAGAATAATAATAACAGTAATACAAGGATATTTTTCCTTATATTATTCTTCAAAATACAATCGCACAATAGATAAATGGATTTTACCGGTGTGAATATAAATCAAAGAAAAATATTCACAAATTATAATATTACATTTTTAAATTGAAGAAAAAAGTGAAACTTAGCCTTTTTTTTATGTTTTTTTTTTTGCTGGGATGGGATTTCAAACCTTGGTATGGGAATTGGGAAAAGGGGGAGCCGTAGGGGAACCACCAAGCTTCCCACCACACCAAACGTATAAAATTCATCTATGTTGGTGCCACATAAACACGTGCAATTATATCACTCTGTTCTCATCTTCCATAGATAGGTTCATTGTGGTCGGAACTTAGGGCGCACTGCAATCACCCCAGGCCTGATTTCATCGAAACGATACCTGCTTAGCAAACAGAACACAGTGATCTATATAATGTTTTTCATGGAATGTTTACCTCAGCCATTAGAATTAGAATCTAACAAGACAAACAACTCAAGACTTGAAATCAATGGAAAAGTTTACCCATTGTCAGCTAAAAAGCTTTTGATGACTATTGGAAGTGCAGCCTCTCCCCGGCTATGATTACCTTTACCTGTAACATGTAATTAACGCTAACATTAATTGGCAACTATCCATCTGCCTCCAAATTCAATGAAGTAGAACACATGACTAATTATAACACATTGATGAAATCAGCATCCAAAAAATGTTTGGATTTTAAACCTGTAGGATTCCAAAATATCAAAAATGTCAAATATCTTACTACATCAGTTTTTTTTTCACAAATGTCAAACGCATAAAATATCAAAAGCAATTGAAGTTAAAAATAAAAAAATAATTAAATAAATTAATAAGTAAATAAAGAGGGGGTACGGATCTGGACCGTGACTTCAACGCAGTCCAAGTAACAAATGATAGAGTTCTAGAAAAGCATCGTCTACTTTGACCAACGGTCGATTACTCTAGGACTGGACGACAGCTCCCCATAGGCAACACCTTTCCGACGGAAACCAGTTGTCACTAATTGATAAAAAATTTAAAAAAAAAATTAAAGATCTATACGTGATGCGCTTCCTGTAGAGCCCCGGATCGCACTGCATAATGAGATGATAAACAGTACGTGATGCATCACAAAGCTTGATGCACAGAACCGGCGCTTCATGCGCATCGCACCTCATGCGCGCTTTTCACAACTATGCCTGGATGGCGTGGTGAATTTGAGAAAGAGAGATGGCTGAAGAGAGAATTCCGGGAGAGATGCCCTGACGCCGAGAAAGAGGAGTCGCAGCGGACAACTGTTAAAATTCCGGCGGGCCGATAACAACGGATAGAGTGTTGGGTAAAATTAACCACTTGCATATAAAGTCGGGATCCACAATTCTAACCCAAAAGCTTAAGCTTATAGGTAGGGCTTCACCCTTCAATATATGCAAGTGATACTCATCTTTATTTTCTGATGTGGGAACTCCAACACTCCCCCGCAAGTGGTAACTAGCCTGGCCTAGTTAGCACATGGACAAACGGGTCTAGCATCTCAATCTCTTATAGCTAGCCCACACAACGGGCGGTGGCATCTCAATCTCTTTTTAGCCAACTCAGCCCAAACCACAGACGGGGTAGCTCATTTTTGCTAAACCCACATCCAAACAATCAGGAACAATCAAACCCGGACCGGACCTGCTCTGATACCATGTTAAAATTCCGGCGGGCCGAGAATAACGGATAAAGTGTTGGGTAAAATTAACCACTTGCATATAAAGTCGGGATCCACAATTCTAACCCAAAAGGTTAAGCTTATAGGTAGGGCTTCACCCTTCAATATATGCAAGTGATACTCATCTTTATTTTCCGATGTGGGAACTCCAACAACAACTCCAGCTCAACTAATGATTTACCTCACACAAATCTGATTTTCATAGGAGAAGAATGACAATAGTCTTGCACATTTGAGTATATTACTTTGGACCACTCACACGCCGATCCAGTATACTCCTTGTGAAAGGAATTGACAATCTGAAATAGATTGATGGTCAGCAGCAGTGCCGAGTTCCGTCGGCCGGCGGCGCTGCAGCTGCGAAGTGGTCTGAAGGGAGATCCAGTGGGGGTTGCTGCGATGTTGAGAGCCCGCGGCCAAGAATCAGCAGTTGGAGATGCAATTGATGCACAAGCCAAAGCGGGAACTGCCTGTCGGGTTGGTGATTACACCGGAGTCAGGATCTTGCCGGTGATGCTACTGGAGACACAAATCTGGCCATGAGTGCAACCCAAATCGAAGAAAGAGTTTTTTTAGTTGACTTACAGCCGATCCATGACTGCGTCCCTATAGGGGGTTTACAATTTTTTTTTATTGAGGAAGAATTTAGAACGCAATAACAAGGAAGAACAAATGCCCGGCGGACGGCTAATGGTGGCGCCGCCAGCAATAAGCTAAGGCAGAGAATTTTAGGTCACCAAGAGCAGTGGCTTCGATACCATGTTGGAATATTGGAATAATAATAATAATAATAATATAATATTGCTCATTGAATTATGGAGTACATGGTAGAGTATATATAGAAAGAGAGCCTAACACAACTAGAAATAGCGAATGGAAACTAACTAAAATACATCTACCATAATTAGGAATAGGAAGCTGACTAATAATAAAAAAATATCATAAATAATAATAATATTATTATTGTCTAAGACTATGAGTACAAAAATATTTTCATTATATTTATCTTGCTTAAGACTTTCAAAAAAAACATTTCATTGTAATAATACGCAATGCAAATTTAATGTAATTAAAGGTTAAGTTTTTCCTGTTTGAGTAAAAAAATCAAACTAGACGAATACTCTTGGACGGAGAGTAAAAATTGCCACATAAGTGGATTTTATCCTTGATTAACCACTCTGGTTTTCAAACATATAAGCCAAAGCACATGGCATACTTGAGCTAAGCCAAATGCTCGAGGAGAAGAAAAATATGAGTATGACATAAAGAATTCAGCAAGTCACAAGTATTTCTTTAAAATCATAAAATATATTGTAACATCAATCAGCTAGGGCATCTTATCACAAAGAAACATCTTGAGACAGTACCTGTAATGACATGAAGAATAGATGGTCGCTGTTTGGAAGGTTGTTGTAGCCTCTTTGTTGAACTTTCAGCATCAAAACCATTCGAGTGCAAAAGATACAAAGTGGATTCCATCTCACCGTTTACTCCTCTTTGAAATACTGAATGATTGACTGAAACTTGGGATTCAATCTTTTTCAAGTGTTCTTGCAAGGCTGCAACTGCTTCGGTCGAATGAAGACCGTGCAAGTCAAGAGTCCACTCATCATTTTTACTGTTCTGGACTCTTAGAATTTCCTTTGCTGCCTTTGTATTCAACTCCCCGGCAGCTAACCATTCCTCTTGAGCTTTCACTGAAAAACATTGAGCAGTCAAGTGATCTCCTCTTAAATAGGCATAGCTTGCAGACTTGGAATGCCGAGCTGCTGATCTATACAATGAAAGGGAGCTATTTTAAGAATCAATTCAAACTACCACAATATTATAACTACCACAACCCCCCCCCAAAGTAGAAAGAGAATGAAGACAAAACAATCCAATATGAATCAAATGTCCCTCCTACGTATTTTTAATTCTGGGCAGTCTCTCTGCAAATCTCATCATATGCAGTGTAAACAAGCGCAGAATTGAAGTAACAAACACTTTAGTCATGCTAATCACAATAAGGGATTAACGTTTTCAAGCGAAAGTATAAAAAAAATGATGCAACCCACCTCATCATCCTGATGGCATCCTTTCTTTGAAATGAGTATATATCGTCTTCCTCCCATAATTCAGGTTCAATGGGTGCAAATCTAAAAAATCCAATTGATGCATTGCCGTGAAGCTTGTCCACGAAAGAAGCAGGGTAATTGATTAAGTTTTTGCTACTAATATTCAAACACTTTTTTATAGCATTGTTCAAATCTTCCAAATTCACATTCTCTCCAGATAAATCATCTTCATTGACTTCTTTACCTTTTCTATCTTTCTCTTCCTTGATCTTTTGAACACAAGGAAATGATAATTCATCTGCATTTGAGATTTTGTTAATATCAGGTTTCTTGGCTTCTGAATCGTCATGTAAGACAACTGTCTGATCCAGAGAAACCATATCTTCCAATATCTTCATAGCCTGAGCAAATTCATTGTTTACCCCAGCCATAACATCTTTGATCAAGCTTTCATCTGCCCACGAGTGAAGCTCTTTAATAATTTGATACGAATCAACATCATCCCCATTTTTTAAAAATTTAGTCCCTTTGCTGGAGTTGAAATGCCCAGCACTTGATTGCTTATTTTTTGGATACTTATTTTGCTCCAAGGATGAAAGATTTGGAGAAGGCAAGAGCACAGAAGAAAAAGGCTTCTCCAATATAGTATCAGTATTCTTTGTTGAGAGAGTATTGGAGAGTGATAAAGGAGGGAAAGGTTCACTTTCGAGCTGGGGTTCAATGCCTTGTTGATTCTGTCTTTGCTTTTGGACAACTGCAGCCCAACCAGAAGTGTTAGCTCTCATGGACGATATCCTTTTTATGCAAGGGGATTTTTACACTTGCAGAAGCATCAATCTTTGGGAGCACATAGAAGATGTGCAAATCATTCATGCATAGTGCCCGTGTGCTTCCCGCTTCCCTTCAATCCCCACACTTTTATTCAATAGGCAGCTTCTTTCTTAAAAAACATTATGGGACAGCACATCAGAAACAACACAAAAACATAAGGGATGAAAAAAAATTACCGAGTACAAAACACAATATTCTACCAAAACAAGAAAAGCAGAGAGAGAGAGAGAGAGAGAGAGAGAGAGAGAGAGAAACACATTCATACGTTAAACCATGAAATTCGCCTAACATGACAAAATTAAACCATTATATATTCAAAATCTCATTCACTTCATCTCCTATAACGAATTATAAACAATTACAAATGACTGCCATTAATTGGCCAGCATAAGTCAAGCTTTAGAAACAGCACAAACAAGAAGCAAAAACCCAGGAACTCAGAGAAGAACAAAGAACCAAACTCCTCAGCAATCACAAGATAAATACCTCTCTCACTTCCACATATTTAACAATCCTATGAATAACCAAATAAAACTCTCAATTCGCTTTACCTGATTAATTTCCTTAACGATCCGTTAAAAACAAGTTATGGATTGTGAATATTAAGGAATGCGAAACAGGAGGTCTCCTATCCAGGGAGTTAATGAAGCCGGCGAAATTAACAAAGTCTGGTAGGGCGGCTGAGATGAAAACAATTGCGGCTGGAATTCGAACACGGCTGCGGCGGATGAAGAGGAGGAGATTGATGAAGAATTTTTGCAACCCATAAACGCTTCTTCAAATTCTTCCCTGAGTTTGCTTGATGATGGTAGAGAATGATTAAAGATCAAACAGACCGTCGGGGAATGGTGAAAAGGGCAGGAAGGTTTTACTGTTTTGACAAAACAGGCTCCGTATTTATCGGGACCATTTTCACTTACCCAGAAACAAGCGGGTGAGGGTACGGAAGGTTCGTGGCTGGCTTTGGTTCAATTTAGCACAAGAAATATATAAATGGTTGGTTATTCAATTTGATTTTTTGTACTTGGTCCGTCCCTGAGTGTTTGTCCACTTTTGACTTTTGGAACTGTTCATCTAAGCACTTTGACTCATCAAATTCTCTCAATGTGTAAGCCTAAAAATAGTCATGTGTGATCTTGTTTGATTCGTCTTAACATATAGATTATTAATATATAATTTTTATAATTTTTTAATATACAAATTACAAGATAAAATATCTAAAGAAGTGCATTGGATGGTGTGCAAAAATGAAAGTGGACAAACACTCAGGGATGGAGGGAGTAATTTTTATTTCAATTTGTTGCAATTTTTTTTGTTTTTGAAAATAAAATATGTAAGCATTAAAAAACTGTAAAAACACAAATTCGATGCAGCAATAACAATTTGTGGAGTTGAATTCAGTTTTTTCGATTTGATTTTTACATAAAACCAAATACTGAACATAAGGTTAGACTTTGGTTTGGTTCAATTTTATATAGAAAAATATGTTTCGTGTTTAACAAACATCTAAGAGCTTCCAAATACTCTCAAATTAAAGCTTTCGTATGTAAATATCAATTACAGAGAATTTGCATTTTTAGTATAATACTTTCATTTCTATTATAGCTAGGGCTGGACACAGTACCGGTACGGTACTGTGACCGGGAACGGTACTACCGGTACCGAGTACCGTCACCGTCACCGGGAACGAGCCACCAGTTCTAGGAACCGGTAACGGTACCGCCCCAACCGGTACCGTGTCCGGTGTCCAAATTTTGTTGCCGGTACCGGCACCGGTTCCGGTGCCGGTTTACTAATTTTTTTCTCTCTTTTTTGCTCCAAGTCTCCAACAAATAGTACCTGCAAAAAAAAAACAGAAGTTCCTCAATAGCTCTTGAGCCGTTTGAGGGAGGGGGGAGTGGGAGGGGAGGGGAGGGGGGGAGGGGTTAAAAAAGTTATAAATACCTTTTTTTTCTTAAAAAATCACACTCAAATACTCAATCGATATCTCATTCTCTCAAATCTCAATCTATCCTTCTTAATTTCTTATCAATCTCTCAAATCTCAATTTCTCAATTTCTCAATCTTAATATCTTATTATCTTTTTTATACATTATTTTTTAAATATATTATATTTTAATATATAAAATTTCGAAATTATTTAAAATTTTCGAAATTTAATATTTTATTTTCTTTAATATCAAAAAATATATAATTTATATTTTAAATATATTTTCTATTATTTTTTGAAATTTTCGAAATTTTAATATATAAAATTCCAAATTTTTTTAAATTTTCAAAATTTAATATATTATTTTTTATATCAAAAAATATATATATTAAAATGTCGAGAGAGTCCGGTAGAAGGTCTGTGGATATGGGCGCCGTGAACCAAAGTTTGAGGAAAGGCAAAGCTAAAGCCACCTCCGACGGTTCAACCTCACGTGGTTCTCGAGGAAGACACTCCGTCTCTTCATTTCTTACTGTCCCAGATCATTTAATCGGGGATGGTATGACACGAATCTTCCTACTCTTGATAGTCTATTCGAGGATGTTGATGAAGCAGGAGTGGATAATCTAGACGGGGACGATGAGCCTACACCGCAAAGCAACGACGTCGGCGTGGAGACATGTTAGCCCGAGACCTCTCGAGGTCCGGACAAAGGTAAAAAGAAATTAAAATCAGATTTATTTGTTTATCATTTTGACAAAGACACAAAAGATGGCGTAGTTTATGGAACTTGTAAACACTGTGGGACCGTTATAAAAATGGGAATTTCCGGCGGTTATGGCGGTCCGGAAAAACACCTTAGGTCAAGGCATCCCGTGGAGTACACCAAATACGCGGCGAAAAAGAAGGGACGGCAAGAAGTGCAAACCCAAATTTCTCGGTTCGCTAACAGAGGTAAAGGTGGCCTTTTTGCTTATAGCAATGAGCAAAATAAGCAAAAAAGGCCAATATGATTTGTGAAGAAACTTTTCCATACATGTTTTCTGAAAAACTTGGATTTATTGATTGTTGTCAACAGGCATTAAACCTTCAAGCACGAGGTTTTTCAAGAAAAACAATTAAACGAGAAAATATTCGCCAGTATAAAATTGAAAAAATAAATTCGGCAAATTTTTTTCTCAATTTTAATTCTCGTGCTGCTATTTGTTCTGATATTTGGGGTGAAATATATCATAATTTGTCTTATATGGGTGTTACTTCTCATTAGATAGATAGTGATTGGATTATGCATAAACGTGTTCTTGCATTTCGTGATTTCAATGATCAGCATACTGTTGAAAATATTTTTCTATTGCTTTAGAGTATTCTGCGGGAATACAACTTATCTGAAAAAGTGTTTTCATTTGGTTTTGATAATGCTACTAATAATACTGCAGCTATTCCTAGACTTAGAGAAATTTGCCCACCGTCTACGGCTATGTGTAGATTTCTGCATCAACGGTGTGCCTGTCATGTTTTAAATTTATGTGTTCAACATGGACTAGAAGCTATGGGCGGAGTTTTGACGAATATTAAAGAAGGAATTGAAAGAATTTGGGGGCTCGTCTTGTTTCGAGGTCCTGGAAGATGTTCTGTAAGTCTAAGGGTAAAAAAGAAATAATTTTTGCCAAAGATATCAACATTAGATGGAATAGTACTTACAAATTGATTCATCAGATTCTAAGATATAAAGAGGAACTTGCTGAATTTTTTAGGGATGAACTTCGTATAATCATTAATCCTTTTGAATTTGTTATTGTTGAAAATTGAATGACGTATTAGAAGTTTTTAATGACGCAACTCTTACTTTTTCTCATGTTTACCAACCAACTACAAATACATTTTTTATAGAGTGCGTTACAATCGCAACATGTTTTAATTTCGTGAAAGTATGGCTAATGAAGATTTGTACCCTTATGTCTCTCCTATGAGAGATAAATGGTATGCTTATTATTTGTACATTTCTGATATTTATAAAATAGGTATTATTTGTGATCCACGCTTTAAGATTGAAAATTTTAAAATTTTAATTGAGAATTACTACATGTGTTTTTTTTAGATAAAATAGTTATTACTACGACTATTCCGGCAAATTTGAAAATTTGTTTAAGGAATATCAAGGGTTATATGGTATGTACAAGAAGAAACAGCACCACCTCCGCCCCCGAAATCACAAAAAGGTTTTGCCGGAATAGTCGGTGGCCTTCTTGCAAAGAAAGGGAAGCGTGCTCAGTCTTAGACGAGTTCAAGTGGTACAACAGTAAGCTCGCACAACGAACTTGCTATATACCAGGGTGTGCCATGCGATTACGATGACGCGGATTTTGACGTGCTTGGATGATGGAAGCGGAACGAACACATGTTCACATGTCTCGGCATGCTAACAAGACAAGTGTTATCCGTCACGGTATCAACCGTAGCAGTTGAACGAGAATTCAGTGCTAGCGGAAACATTCTAACCGACACATGTCTCGGCATGCTAACATTTTTTGTTTGCTCTCGATCCACTACATTATCAATTTTGCACAGAATTCTATGCAAAATATACAGATTCAACAACAACAACAATTCAACTCATCAACACAATAACAATTAACATAAATCAACAACGAACACAAATGTATTCACAAAACCCAAATGCCAAAAAACTACGGAGTAAACATTTGCATCCATCACTTGTACATCTTTAAAAATATCAATATTTACAAACTAAGTTTTAACACCACAACTAATTTAAGAGTGAAACAACTACACTCTCCTAACATACAACTAATACTATACAATATAATACAAAACTTACAATAGTTCATCGAGAAAATCCCCGCCCAAAACTCTCTAACCTCTTCTAATTTGGCTATGGTATAGGGCGAATTAGACTGAAACACCTGCAATACGAAAACAACATAAAGTTTAATAATCTATGAAAAAGAAAAAGATTATCCATGATAAGCACTTCATTACTTTCAAAAACACACTAAAATAAACTTACATTGTATAACGGTAAAGATCATTTAGCGCACATAGTGACGATGAGCCATAAAAATCGCATGGTATAACAACCATACTCAAAGCCCCCTAGTTGTTGGGGTACTCCAGGAACATCAATCCAATTCGGTCGAGCCTTAGGCTGAGGCATGTGTCGTTCACGAAGTAACCGCCAAGACATTTAATACATTAAAAAACAAATCAATAAGAAATAAATATCTTAACAAATAAAGAATTTCATTAATAATAAATAAATTTCTTAATACTTACCCGTTGATGAAAGTCTTCACTTTCATTTGCTTATGCTCTCCGGTCCCCTTGATTGAGTTTAGGAAATACACTTTATTTTCAAACAAACGTATTACAACTAACACCCAATGGTGCCTATAATTGAAAAAACGTTAGTCATTAACTTAAAATAAATAACCGATCCAAAAGGCCAGTAAGAATTAGAATCGGTTATTCCTAATAACCGATTCAAATAACAATTTGAATCGGTTATTGGAAATAACCGATGCAAATGCTAACCGGTACAAGAGATTTTTTTACAATTTAAATCGTTTGTTTTGCTGATCGATGCAAATGTGGTGATTTATTTGGTCATTTTTGTAGTAGTGTCTTGTGATTATTATTAGTTATTGTTAAATAATATAACTTTCTTGACGAGCAAGCAACGATATGTGTAGGTTTGATGATTGCTCTAAGAGCTAGCCCCAAAAGTATATGACCTCCAGTTGAGACACCTGAACAATGAAGAGTGTTTTAGAAAAAATAATTTTAGTGTAAGTATTTAAGAGAATAAAAATTCTTTTTCTCTCTTAAAGTAGAGAGAGGGCTGAAAATTTCAAGTCATAAAAAGGGATGGGATGATCTCTTATTTATAAAGAGCATAATCCACATTCCTATTCCTAATGAAAATGTTCCTTTTAATGTTTAGGGGAGAAATCAAATCATATTCTTAATCCAATTAGGTAATTTCTAAATACCACTTTAAAAAAGTTTCCAATTTATTTTGTCAATTTTAATTATCATATAATTAACATAAAATAAATAATATCACATTTATTATAAAGATTTAGCATGACAAAGCTCACCTAACCTACCTGGGGATTCCTATTAGCAGAGGGATTCTGAGAAAAGAAGAATGTGCCTATGTTATCAAGAAATTTGATAATCTGCTGTCTTCGTGGTACAACAAAACCCTCAACTTTGCAGGGAGACTCACACTGATCAAATTCACTCTCTCCTCAATTCCTTCCTACCTTATGTCTGTGTACAAGCTCCCTAAATCAATCTCCTCCTCCATCATGAAAAGAATGTCCAACTTCCTATGGGGCTACAAAAATGGCCAACCCAAACACCATTGGGTATCTTGGGATAAGATCTGTACTCCTACAGAATTTGGGGGTTTAGGGATTCATCATCTGGACATCACTCAAAAAGCACATGATATCAAGTTATGGTGGAAGGTGCAACATCACCATAGTCCTTAGACCAATTATATGAGGCAAAAATATATGAGGGATGGTTCCATTAGGCACAAACTTACAGACTCACCTACCTGGAGGAGAATAGTAAATATTCATCAAACTGCCTGTGAGAATACAAATTACATTGATGGCATTTATATTTGGAAGCAAGGGGATTTTACCTTTGGGAAGGCCATTTCTGCTGCAAATAATAACTACTGCAAGACACTCTCTAGCAAGATTATCTGGCACCCTCTGCAAATCCCCAAGATTAGCCTCTTTTTGTGGAAAATCTACTCAGATGCTCTCCCCTTCACACACAACCTTCAAAAAATCTCCTACAATCTAACCTCCTTCTGTCACCTATGCAAAGAAGAAGCTGACTCCTCAGACCACTGCTTCATTCATTGTCCTATAGCTAAGCATGTGTGGGAACACTTCATAACTATTCTTGACGGGCCTAAGATCTTCAACAACATCCAAATCAATCAATACCTACTTCAATGGTTCATTAAGGCTAAAGGTAAAAGCTTCACAGCACACCTCGTGGGAATCATTCCGGGCATTATAGTCTGGAATATTTGGAAGGCGATGAACACGATAATCCATGAAGACTCAGCGCCTTCCATAAAAAGAATTAAAGACCTAATTATTTGGGAGATTCAAGGGTGGATTTGGACTCACAGAAAGAAAAAGTGGATGCTCAAAGACGCAGACTCAAACCTGCCATTTATCGAATCGGTTTTGGTTGAACGGCAAGAGGTTGAAGACAGGCTTCGTCTCAGGCGACCCTTATATATATATATATATATATATATATGTATGTATGTATGTATGTATGTATATAATATATATGTATATATATATACATATATATATATATATATATATACATACATATATATATACATACATACATATATATATATACATACATATACATACATACATACATACATACATACATACATACATACATACATACATACATACATATATATATATATATATATATAGACACACACACACACACACACACATGAGACTTGCAAAATATGAGACTTGCAAAATATGTGCATCACTCACACTCTCCTTTTCCAATTGATATCTTGGGTACCATGATCACAGATAACGACATTTGGACGTCTCATACTCTTCGAGAAGGAAATCAGCCCGCGGACTTATTAGCTAAAGAAGACACAACCAAAGGATGCAATTTTATTGAATATTGTAATATTAGCGATTGTTCTTCTTCTGTAAAAGCCGCTCTCTTTAACGAGATTGTACCCTCCTTTCGATTTCATTAATAAAATCTTTATTAAAAATATATATATATATATATACACACATACATATATATATATATATATATATATATATATATATATATATATCAATCCCATATTTTCATCCAGCCCATTTCCCCTTCATTATTCCACAATTACATATATATATATATATATGTAATTGTGGAATAATGAAGGGGAAATGGGCTGGATGAAAATATGGGATTGTGAAGGAGTTCTTTTTGGGTTTTGATATTATAAAGAAGAGTGGAAAATCAGAGATGAAGGATGGGTTTATTAAGGATGGGATACATTCCAAATAAGGAATAAGAGATAAACACACTCTTATCTTAATTTGGAGCCAAATTAATACTAAAGGATAAGCTCACCTCTAGATTAACTTGGGGTTGAACTCTAGTATTTAATCAAGATATTACACACCCAATCAAATATCTAGAATCTAAAACTCACACTTAAGATAACCACTCTTAAGATATAGAATTAGGAATTTGGCTAAAATAGCATCACACTATTTTATGAATACTCAAAGAGTAAAAGGTTTTCAATATTCAAAGATGTGTTTACAATGGCAATAGGGCCTAATTATATAGGCAGGGGGAAGGGGGAAGAAATACACAATACATTGAATGTAGACATAAGGAAACTTCCTAGCAACATCCTCTCTCAAAGCCTTGAAATATCAGCCATGTTTTAGGTCCTTTTATTGGAATAAAATCAGGGATGGGTGTGGTTGTAGGGTCTCCAATGAAAGGCAAACCAAGGGGAATGGATAGCATTCTTTTGGGCTGATTTGGGGGGNNNNGGGGGGATGTGTTCAGCCAACTAGGGGGGACAAAGGGAAAGGATAATGTGTGGTACTTTGGCTGCATATATGAGGATTTATTTGGTGGTTAAAGGGTTAAGAAAGTACCATGTTTCTCCTGGAATTTTATGGTTGTTTAGTGGGTTGTACTAGGGAACATAGTAGGGACCATGTTGGGTGGATGTTGGAAGATGAATGGGGCTGTTTTGGTTTCCTATTGTGACCAGGGATTAAAATAGATAGAAGAGACTTTATTTTGGATATCAAAAGGAAATGAAATATATTTGGATGTTTAGGGTTGGGTTGGACGGAGTGGGGGTTGGCTAGCGGAACCCTTATGTCAAAACGAAAGTTATTTTGGCCTTTCGGGCTAAAGGACTTTGAATTCTCACTAAAATGGATCATAATGTTTGAACCTAAGTCCTTTGGTTTCCATGAGGGTGTGGGATATGGGGGAGGGTATGATAGGGTCGGGCCTATATATATATATATATATATATATATATATATATATATATATATATATATATATATATATATAAAAGGAAAAAATTTATTATTAAAAAAGAGGAAAGAAAGTACAAATGGAGGGGGCTTGCCGAACCCCAACAACAAGGCCAAAATAAAATCCAATCTAAGGAAAAAAGGCTTGATGAGAGGCAAGAAAAGAAAGGTACGGAGTACATGATAAGGGAAACTGGACAGTGAAGGGGGATGCCACCTCAAAAACATAATACAAGAGGCTAAACTTCAAATAATAGAAGACAAAGATGCAGTATCAGCTTTAATTCCCCCTGCCATTCTGATCCCTATCCAGTTTGTGATCAAACAAAAATATGAGTGTTGGTGATATCCATCAAAAGGAAATAAGCATGATGCTATGAAAACGAGACAATTTCTGTCAAAACCAAGTAGGCCAGGGTACGAGCTGTCACCAACAACAATGCTTCTCCAGATCAGAGTCAAGCAAAACAGCGCAACTGGGACTCACCTTACTGCGAACCAAGAGTTATACGAGTCTAAAATTGTGAATATCATTTTTAAGCCAGATAATTTGCAGCCAATATGCTTCTTGTAACATTAAGTTACTGAACAAAGTTTTGAGATTCTCCATACTAACAAAAGGCACCCATGAGTAGGCAAAGCTTCAAGATAATCAGTAATCAACAGAAATACCCATAGTAAACTAGTGCAGCATATATGAAAAGCAATTATATAAGATATAACCCAGACAGAATCTTCAATCTAATTGGAGGAGTCATTGCCTAGTCTTCTTCTTCTTCTTTTGAGCCTTAGTACGCTGCCTCCCTTTCTTTTTTGTTTTAGGGGCTTGTAGAGAAAAGTCTAACTGTTTTTGACCTTTAATCGGTCGGTAGATATTATCAAGAGTACCTTCAAAATCACTAACAACATCAGATTCTGATAGATACCTGTCCCGAAGGGAGAATGCTCTTACAAGAGGAGAGAACCTTGGCTTTACTACGTGTAACAATCTGCGAGGGAGAGAAGAGTTTCCTTCGTTTAAAGACTTTTGGTAAATCCATAGAGATTTTTGAGCATCTAGAAAGATCGATTGCTAAAGGCCTTATTTTTGACACAAGGAATGGGGCATCTTCAACATCCGAATGGTTGTACCAAATGGGTTCGTCACTCGGGGATATTCTCTCTTCAAGAGCATTAAAATGAAGAACCAAATTTTTCTCATTTAAATGTTTGAAAGGATCTTCCTCCATAACCAAAACATTTTCTTCTGTTCCAAGATGCAAAAGAGTGCTAAAAGAGTTGGATTGGGGGATAAATTCCTTTGCAAAGGGGGAAATGAGCTTATGAACTTGATCATGCCTACCTGCTACTGCCTCCCTTCCTTTCAGGGAATCAATATAAGCACCCTCGTTCACCAAGGGGCAAGAAGAAATGTCAGAGTTACCTCGACTCTCAACAGATTCTGGCTTATCGATTGCCTCTGTGACAGTTCCTTCAACAAATTGGGTCTTTGCCAGAACAATATCCTTGTCTCCTTGGGAGACATTGTTACTCAAACCAGCTCTAAGAGGAAGATTAACACAAATGCTATCTCCCTCGTTTTCTGCAGCCTGGCAGACTGAACCAAAGAGAGAGACCTTTACAAAAACTGGATTTACAGCTCCCAAAGGTGCGAGATGAGTAGGGCTATGTGGGAGGTTACTTGAAGATTCCAGGATTGGAAATAGAGAAGGAACTGGACCTTGAACGGCAGTATAGGCAGTCTTATCCGGAGGCTTAGGAACTTCAATCTTAGTGACCCTCTCAAAGAAGAATCATAAAGTTTTGGAAAACAAATTAATTTCACCATTCCTAAAACCAAAGGGGATTCTAATGAAGCACTTTCCTTCTCTTCTTTTCTCTTGAATTTTAATAAAATCACCCCTTCTATTTGTTCCAGCAGAGACTTCAATTGTACGAGACTTCCCAAAAGAGAAGACAGCCCAGGCTCTATTAACTGTAATTCTAGAAATAGATTCCAACAACCAACGTATTGTTTCCAAATCAAACCAAATCTGGAATCTTTTGTACCCACACTCACTGATGCAAATGTTTTTATTGTAATGGGAGTGAAATAGCTCAAATACCTTAGATTGAATTTTGAAGGAGAAGGTGGAGTTGCGGCTTAGAAGATTTATGTCGGGGCTTCCACCTTCTTGAGGCAAGCGAGTGCTGGTGAGGAAGTAGGAGTTCTTCAAGTTTCTCGAATTTGGAGATTTGAATGGCCATTTTCTCCGCCTATTCAATTGGTGGATGTTTTCCCTGGAGTTGGTAAAAATTCCTTCTCTTCCACGAGACTGTGAAGAAACCCTGAGTCCTGTGCAATTGGAGCAGCGCCAAGGGATTGGATATTCACCGGAGCTAGAAAACCGGTGTCCTGCGCAATTGTTATCAGACTGCCGTCCCTATCTAGGAATTATGCTCCGCCCGGCACACATTTGCGTATGGATTCTGTGAACTTTTTATCAAAGGAAGTCGGCGACTTCCTTTGAATTTACTCTTTGTTGACTAGTTCCCTTCCTAATCTTTTACTCTTTATATTTTTTTATTTTAAATTAATTTCTACTTTTCAAAATAAAAACTTAATTTATATTAATTTCTTTTAGCATTGATTTAATTCAAAAATAATTAAAATAAGAACTCATATGATGATATAATTAATTTGACATAAAAAAAATCAAAACAACAAAATTACATTCATAATATAAATAAGATTTGTTCAACAAACGTCAACAGAAATTAAAAAGATAATCTAAAAGAACAAACGATTTTTAATGAATTGCAACTCTCTCCATCTCTCCCAAGAAATGTGAGAATTCAGTTTTGATGCCTTGCAACTCTGTCCATCTCTCCCAAGAATCGATTTCGCTGTCGACGACCAGACCGAGAAATTTCTTCAGCTAAATTCCTGTAAACTGATTGTTGTGGGAAAAGCACAGGGTTGATGTGTACATTGTAACATCTCATATATTGTTCAACTGTATACATTGAAGAGATTTCGTCGTCAGCCAACCGTCGAAAAAAATGATACAGTCCGTGAACATGCACGCATGGAATACCATCGCTGCTCCACTGTCCGCAAGTACATGTTTTTCTTCCCAAATCCACTAAAAAGCTATAGATGTTACCTGGATTAGACCTCGATGTTCTGCTTACCACATATTCTTGCCCCCGTAATGCACAGCTTGAAAAAGTTGTTTATCTTTCTCACGCTTCTGAAAAATCTTTGTGATTTTAGGTGTAAATAAACAATTTTTCCTCTGCCACGCAAAACATGCTTCATGTCGTGTCTCGAACTGATCAATGAGTTTATTATACGACATTGTGACAATAGCAGTTACAGGTAGCATCCGACAACCCTTTAACATGTTATTGAAGCTCTCTGAACTATTGGTAGTAAGTATCCCACATCCATGACCGCCATCATGACTAAGCGTCCAAAACTCAGGTCGAATTTTTGCAAGCCAAGCATATGCGGTCTCATTTATACTTTTGATTTCTTTCATATGTTTTTGAAAATCCTGGATGCTAGGAGTGCTCCCTGCTGCCCACATGAGATTTTTTAATGTGCCGTTGTGGAACGCCGTGTTAAAGTTACTTCGTAAATGACGGAGACAAAACCTTTTTTTAATCCGTCCAGTGCGGAGTTCTGGGACGTCTCGATACGCATTAATGATTCCCGCATGCCTATCAGAAATCATTGCAATCTTTTTATCTCCTATGACCCTCTGTGCAACAAGACGTAAGAACCATGACAACTATCAGTCGTTTCACCATCAACAACAGCGTACGCCAAGGGAAATAACTCACGGTTCCCATTCATTGTCACTGCTAGCAGTAAATGTCCTTTGTACTTTCCGTACAAATGCGTCCCATCTACAGTGACCACAGGCAAAAAAAATTGTAGGCCGTTGATTGCCGCTGGAAAAGCCCAAAACGCATACTTAAATGGAAATCCATCCGTGGGTTCAACATTGAGGTTTGGTAGAGGCTCTGTATACACTAACTCTGCCAGAGTACCAAGATATGAAGTCTGCAAAGTGTACAAGAGAGTTGGAAGTAGATTGTAAGAGTCTTTCCAGCTCCCGTACAACATCTCTGATGCATCAAGCCTTGCATGCCAACATTTTTTGTATGTGACAGCAATGTTGAAGAGCAATGTTGTGATCCAATTTAATGGGTTGAACACGATACACCCTGTAAAAACTAGCAGTTCTGAGATTTGTGTCTATCCGATCATCTTCGTAAGAGCTTTCAACGCCGGCGTCATACCGACAACAAAAAACTTTTGCATAAAGAAAATCTTCCTCTTCCCAAACGCGTCTTGAACGATGTTTCTGTTGAAGCGTTAACACAGCATCGTTTCGAGGACCGGTAATATCACGTTCAATTTGGTCCATTGCTTCATTAAAATTAAATGCAAATACAAGAAAATATAAGAGAAATAAAAGAAAATATACTCCATAAAAGAAACATATATCTACCATATCTACAAAACTTCCATCTTGGAGCATAATAATGTGTGAAACATAAAAGAAACAAAAAAAATTTACTCTAATATACTCCAAATATATTTCTACCATATATACAAAACTTCCCTAAAATTATTATTTACAAATGCAAAATATAAAAGCAACATATATCTATCATAAGAATTTATTTGATTCATTTTTTCATACACTAAATACCACATTTCTAACAATTAAATAAATTTATATGATAATAAAAACAAAGTCTAATCATTTTAGCCAAAAAAAAATTATAATGATTTTAAAGAATAAAAATTTGTTAGAATAAAGGCCCAACGCTAGAGGGGGGGTGAATAGCGTTTAAAACAAAATCGCAGGAAATTAAAAACGAGAGCGTAAAAGTAAAGAGCGTAAGGAAGGAGCACACCGAATTTTATCCTGGTTCACCACAACGTGTGGCTAATCCAGCCTCCCGAGAGACTCTCTCGAGCTACACTAACTCCGTTAAGCTTAAGGGTGCTCAACAAACCGATACAACTTGAGAACCCGAGTCACACGAGCCTCAACACCTTTGCTTGGAGATACCGCACTCCAAGACTTCTCACGAAGGAACAAAGAACTTCCTTCGAATTTACAACAAGGGAACAACCTCCCTTAAAGTGTATAAGAACACTTAAACACTCAGGAATAAAACTCTCACAAAGAGTAGATATGAGTGAACTAGTATACGCTCAAGAACACGACAATTTCTTCAAGAATTGGCTCTCAAATAGCTAAGAAAAATAGGAATGATTATGCAATGAAGGAGTATTGAAATGTTGAAGAATTGTGTGTAAAATGAGAGGATTTGGGTGCCATTTTATAGCCCAAAATGGGATAAAACCGTTGCTAGATTTTCTAACAGGATGAAGACAAATTTTTCAGAGACACAGGGAGATAGTCGATTGTCATAGCCTGATAATCGATTATCAAAAGATTCCCTGTCCAAAAAATTTAAAATTCTATCCGTTGGAGGACAACGGTAACCCAGATAATCGATTGTCAACAAGTGATAATCGATTATTGGTCCTCTCAGAAGTTTCTGGGTTTTGGCTGCACAGACTGATAATCGATTATTGCAAATGTGATAATCGATTATTGCTTGCTTCAGAACTTTGGGAGTTCAAAGCTGCAGGAGCTGATAGTCGATTCTCACTAAGGTGATAATCGATTATCACCCAGCTAAAGTCTAGCCAGCTGAAACCCGTTTTGAAAAACCAAGGTCCAAAAACGAAGTGTTCCCAAAAGTAAAAACCAAGTTTTAAAAACATTGTATATGGTATAAAATAGTGAAAACAAGACTTGTTTGGTAAAAACCAAGTCCTCAAGGTCGTAAATCACGTGCGTACGGTTTTGACCGTTTTTCACGCGTTAGACCGATTGACCAAGATACAAAAGTGGTTTTTATAAAAATAATTATTTGGGAACCTTTAAAATATGCTCAGAGATAAAAGCGAGGTTTAAAACATTGAAAACCACCGAGTTGGTTCGGGTGCCAAAAACCGAATGCCGAACACCGAGTGCCGAAAACGGTACGCCGACTTAGGTGATTTTTGGTTCTGAGCAAGGACCAAGGATTTTAACAAAAAGAAATTTATCTAAAATGTTTATTTTGATACACAAAAATATTTTATGATTTTGTAAAAAATATTTAGATTCTTTGAGAACTGAGACTTGAATTGATTGTCGGTTTTGATCACAAAAGACCGACTCGACTAAGTCTTCAATTCTTGATCTTGTCCTTGAGTCTTTTAGGTCTTGTTCCATGCCATTCTTCGCACCTTGAGTTATTCAACGAAACTCTTTATATCCACGGCGGTTTGGCAATTATCAAAACCTGTCAGAAATGAACACAACTTTAGTTAAACGTGCAAAATGTGTTCCAACAAAATTAAAAAATTAATAACATACCTTTCAATTGAGAGTAGAATGGAGATGTGTTGTGTTGTGAATTATGATAAAATTTAGATGATTTGAATAAAGAAGAAATTTAAAAGGTATAAATTAAAGATAATGTGTTGGAAAGGGGAGGAGAGTGTTTGAATTTGAAAAGAGGTTGGAATGTGTGAAAAAGGGAAAGGGGTAGGGTAATTTAATGGTTAATTTGAAAAGAGGTTGAATGGTTTAAATGAATAAGGGAAGAAGGGATGGAATAATGGGAGAAGGGATGGCCAACACGTGACTTCTTTTTTTTCTCAAAGGAAGTCGCCGACTTCCTTTGTCACTGATTGGAAATACTTTGGCTTTTTTGGAATTCAATCACCAAAATCTTCCCTTTCTGGGAAGTTACCCTCTCTCTAGAAACTCCATCCTCATATATATATATATATATATATATATATATATATATATATATATATATATATATATATATATTTAAATTTAAAGAAAGTTTTATTAAAAAGGAAGTGCAAGGTACATAGGGGGGTGGCCAACCCCACAATAGGCCAAAACGAGATCCAAACCAAGAAAAGGAGAACAAGAAAAAGCTGCCAAGTAACTAAACATAAAAGGAGAAGCTGACAAAAAGCTTAAAATAAAAGAGAGGAGCTGGATTTAAAATCGTCCTAGGCAGAAACCCATCCAGCTGTATCCATTTCATCAACCCAACTGCATCCATTGAACCTCCTGTAGTTCTTTTACCCAAAGATCACAACCAAATTTACTGTCCATTCTCCATCCTTTCCAGCCTATCAAGGATAAAAGAGTACAAAAGTTTGAAAACAAAGCTGTCTATGTAGGAAAGTACATGGGCAATGTAATCTTTTGGAAAGTACTAAAAAAATTGTTCGTAAACTACATTATAAACCCCAAAAAATGTCATTAAAATTTGTTCACAAACTATAACAAATTTGAGTAAACTTATTTTACCTAATTTTTTAAAAAATTCTTCAAGTCTATTCGTAAACTTTTAAAAAATTGGCATGAATCTTTTTTTTTGTTGAAAATTTACACTGTCAAAAAAAATTGTTCAAGTATATTGGAAACTTTAAACAAATCGGCACGAATCTTTTTTTTTGAAATTATTATTATCTACCTTAGTTACTAAATGGCCTATTGTCGTATTTTTTATTTGTAATAAAACAATACTTATTTTCATTATTTCTTTGAATTTTCAGAGTATTTTATGTCTAAATATTTTAATTTTAAATCCCAGTTACCTAAGAAACAAACATATCCAACACCATTCGCCCAAACATTGTTCATATTCTTAGACAATATTCTTCAAAATCAAATGAATAATAAATGTGTAATTTATATAATAAGTCATCTGAGTAATATTCGAAACAGTTACCATGTGTTAATAAGCATAATCAATCATTTTGATTAGAGAAAAGTACCTTAGCTTAGGAGTCTAAAAGATACTTTAAATGTTGTTCCTTCCAATCTAAACAGGGGGCCATGCCATTTTCACATTTTCTCACCACACATTCTTGCAATATATGTCATATTGTATCCATGATATAAATGTAATGGAGTGTGAAACACATAACTAAATGTAATGGAGTATGAAACATAGAACTAAACATATCTTATGTGTCTCTTTCCAATAAACAAAAGAAGAAACCAAATCATCTAGCCTACTGCCACTATATAAACATCCACAAATCCCAAGACCTCACCCCAAATCCTGCAACATTAACGGAAATATATGATTTTAATTTCTGAAGTAATTGTAAATATAAAACCAAGCTATTGAGTACAAAATAAATATGTTATCTCAACAACTTAAAAGTCTAATATATTTTACGTGCTTTAACTATTTATTTTCTAATCTTCTCATTTTTATAAAGTTTCATTGTAGTTTTAAAATAAGTGTTTCTAATCTTCTCATATTTTAATAAATATAATCAAACTGATTGCTTCGATTTAAATATATCATAAAAATATGAAATTTATTTTAAAGTGAAGAAATATCTTATTAATTGCTTAGGGCCAATTTAGTGAATTTTGGAGATATTATAAGATGTGGGTTATGAAAACTCAGAGAAATGATATGGACTTTGTAATCTAAAATGATTTTATTTGGAGAGATTTAAATTCAGGATTTAATTAGTTATAAGAAAAAGTGACTGACAACGGGAGTGGTTGGCAGTAATAATGATAGCGAGTGACAAAGAATGATCCATAGTTGAGAGAGATATCAAACCCCCATATTGATATCTCCTAAATTCGGGAGATATTGAGACCATCAATTTTAAAGATTTATGATATCTGCAGATATTAAATTTGATAACTCTTTTGGCTTCACCGAACACCAAAAAAGGATAAGGATATCTAGAGATATCAAAATTCAAAACTCATATTTTTTTGCTCACCAAACACACTTTTAGAAGTTTTGTAATAATTGA